TATTGTACTTAATTCCATTTTTTTTTTTTTTTATCCTGATTCAGTGATGGTGCAAATACCTTGTATTCCAGCATCCTGGATTTCTTTTCCAGACGATCAATCTCATTCTTCTGGTTTTGGATCATTTTTTCCTTTTCACCAAGCTTGCCACGTTGCTCTTGGATAAAGTTCTCCTTGGAGAGCAGGTTGCTGTCCTGCTCTTGAAGCACAGACTTCAACATTTTGGCTGAAACAGAATCATGGCACAAATTTGGAAAAACATTGCACTTGAAATACCATTTAAACAGCTCTAAATAAAGTGATGATTTTACCAGTTTTATTGTACTCCTCAATCATCATGTGTCGAATCTTGTGTCTCTTCTCCAGGGCCTCAATGAGTCTGGGCAGTGTAACATCATCGTTAGGCCCAGAGATCTCACAGGGAGGAAGTGGAGGGAAGGACTGAAGCAGCTGGTTCAATACTGTTGGAGACTCTGTAACAGAAAACATCACATAATTGACATTACCCAAAAAAAAAAAAACGTATGAGACTTTAAAACATCACATAATTGACATTACCCAAAAAAAAAAAAAAACGTATGAGACTTTAGTATGGAATCCCCTCTGCATGTTAAAGAAACTGCACATTTTTAATGTTAACACACATTTTGTGAGAATGTAACAAGTTCGTTCACACACACACACACACACCTCCATCTACAGGACCACCACGTTCCTCCAGCCTGCGGGTAAGCTCCTCTTTGAAGGCCTGGTTTCTCTGTCGGCGACCAGCAGCGAAGCCACAGATGGGCCTGTCAATGGGCCGGGCCACTTCAACCTCCTGAGTCATCTCAGCAAAGCGCATCACCAGCTAGATCACAGATGAGAAACCCAAATGTCACAGTGCAAGTAGAATACATCTGAGGAAGACTCCATCTTTTGACCCATTATCTTACCAAGGTCTCCTCATAATCATCAGCTTTTGGATTTACACACACAACCATCCTCACTTTGCCTTCTCCATCAAAGTAGTTCTTGAATAGATGGGTCACTTTGGAGTCTCTGTACGGAACCATCTAAGGACAGAAGTCAAGAGTGCCTTTGATGTTTCTAACCTTTTTACCCAATCACATGGTCAGTTAATGTATCATATACCTTGTTTGTGCCACACATCTGATTCTCCCTTAGCACTTCAATACATGTGCGCAGAGTCATTAAAGATTGATTGATGTTGCCTGTGAGAGAAAGAAACCCATATGGTCTTCATAAAACTTAACCCTGAAATCCTGAAGGTAATAAAAGTAGTTCTTTGTGCTGCTGCCTGACCTGCTTCACGGAGACGGCTGCCCTCTGCTCGGGTTCTGCTAGTGCGTTCACTGCCAGCCAGATCCACCAGACACAACTGGCTCACATTCACCTGATTCTTATCCTGAAAAAGGGAACAAAACAATAAGTGCTGTTCAGTGGTTCTACTGTCACAATTCAGAGCCCAACATCTCAGAATGTAGGGCCAAAATGTCACATGTAAAGGTGTAGTTCTTACATAAATGAAAATTGCCATCAATTACTCACCCATTGCCTTGTTCCAAACTCATAAGATTTTCATTCGTGTTTTAAAGGGGTCATATGATGCGATTTCAAGTTTTCCTTTCTATGAAGATTTTTTTTAAATGAAACTTTAGATTTCTGTCCCTCCATTCCAACAAAACTTTGAAAGAGTTTGCAAAAGACAATGCAAAATAAATCCATATGAATCAAGCAGATTAATTTATTCAAGTTTTCAAAGTGACACTTCATATGAAAGACTTAATTTAAGCATTTATTTACATATGAGCATTAATCAATGCACAAAGTAAAAATATGGCAAAGTGAAGCCAATCTTGTGTACCGCACAAACAGGTTTGAGCTTCTGCAAGAACCAATGAAGCTGTTAAAGCGTCATAGTTTCGGTGGAATGGACTTTAAGTGGAGAGACAGAAACCATTCCAGTTTCATTAAAAATATATTTTAAGCTTTGAGTCTTCTGGGTTTGGAACAAGGGTGATTAGATCATTTTTATCTTTGGGTGAACTATTTCTTTAACATCTCATGATTAATTCAAAACACTTTCAAATGAATCAAACATGATTCATCCAAATGCATTATCTGACTTAGCATTTACAAACTGAAATTACCCATAAACTGTAGGTTCTCAAGGACAGACTCTCTTATTATGGTGTATAAATTTAAGGTGAAATTTCTGAATCATTTTATCACTAGGGGGTGCCAAATCCCTAAAAACATCATTAAAAAAAAGAAAACAACAGCAACAAGACCAGAAGCAGGAACACTGCATGTTTTTCTTTTTTGCATTAGTATTAATTATATTTTTAGTTAGCCATATTTACAAAAGATCTTGTAAATTCTTTTTTCCAAAAAAACAGTCTTGAAGGCATTAGAATTAGCACTGACCTGAAGCACATTGTCTCCATCTGCATCCAGAGGTGCTTGTGCCAATTTAATAATGAACACACTGTGAGAGCGGCTGGACTCACGGTTCAATTGCGTGTTTGCAATCCTGCGCTTCTTCTGACCTGTGTTCAGAAAACAAAAGATCTCATACAATAGCTCTGTGTGCTAATTACAAACAAAACATTACAAACAAAAAAGTGAACATCTACATCAGCTTACCTCTCCAAAAGACTTCAAAAGCTTCCTCTGTTGACTTGACCTCAACCTCAGTGCACCCAGCCACATACATGTTGTGATTTTGATCTTCACGCAGTATTTTAGATTGGGGTGGTCTGAAATGTGAAACACAGTATGATAACATTTCTGTATTTACAGAGTAGGGAAAACAAGTTGATCAGCCACATTGCAACAAAGCTCAATCACTGCATGGGCGCCTACCAGCAAGTAAAACAAAAGCACAAGACAGACAGCAAAGACAAAAGCAGACACAGACACCCTAGAAGCACTTGAAAGCATTAGACAGAATGCGTAGTACAGCTACACAAAGGAAGGAATCTCATTATCAAAAGGCAGCAAGTCCATCTATGAATGGATTTCACTGGCCACGTACATGAACTCAGTGTTGTTTCTCAGAGGTGTGCCTGCACCATTCCACCTAATGAAAAAACAAAATACAATTCATCTATAAACTAAGTTCATAGATATTACTTAAAAATAATAATATGGAACTAAATTAAAAAAATCTGTGTGTCAGTTGTCAAAGTAAAATTTCAATTGAGAAAACATTTAAGCAAAAAAAAAAAAAGTATTGGTTACCCACAAATTGGTACTACTGATACACCCAATTAAAAGTAGAACAGATTTTTACATAGACTAATGGTTCGGAGTCGATACAGTTTTTTGAAAATGGTTTTTGAAAGAAGGCTCTTATGCAGACAAAGGCTGCATTTATTGGATCAAAAACACAGTAAAACAGTAAACTTAGCCAACTTACTTGGGTTTTATTGGGTCAATGGGTGTCTCTTCCAAAAGATCATAGATGTAGTTGTTGTAAATCTCAATGTAAGAGACAAAGACACTGTAGCTGCTGTCTTCATCCACTCCATCTGCCTTACAAGCCTCCACTGGGCTGATCATGTCAGCAAACTCGGGGTCAATTCGCCTACAAAACAAGAACAGCATATAAAAACTCACTATTTAATTTAAAACAGATTTTTGTACACTTTGTAACCTTAATTACTTTAACCTTGTTGTTGGGGTCTTCGGTACAGTTGTCTGGCTGTCTCGCTTCTGTCGGTCCAAGAGCGCATCCACCTGATTCTGCACCTCCATGCCATTTTTATCATCAGGCTTGAAAACCTGATGAGGGAAAGATCAAGATAGCTCAAGGATGGGAAAGTTTACATAACGGAATAAATGTACTTGATGAATTTGCTTACATATCTCTTGGCCTGGTAGGGGCCGATGCTGTTGAAGATCATGTCGAGTGAACGCGGAAGCAGCCCACCTTGACCAGGTGAGCCAGTCATTGTATAAGTTTTACCACTGCCAGTGACACCATAGGTGAACAACAGACCTAGTTTAAGAAGAAAACTGCAGTCAGTCGGGTTGTTTTTAAATAATAATAATAATCAACAAGTGTACAGAAAAGTATATTTACCATTTTTACAGTGAATGATGTCTTCTACTAGAGGTTTGGCAACATCTTCAAATAATTCCCCCTGTGTCGTTTTAATTCCAAACACTTTTTTGAAGGAATATTGTGTCTAAAAGAAATTATAGTTAATTTCAGTACTCCAACAAAGCCTAACTGGTTTCCAACTATTCTGCACATTTTATGATAGTCAATTTTAAGACTTGAGGACAAAAAAAAAAATAAGTTTAAGGAATAAATTAAAGGGATCATAATACACCAATATGTAAACAAACATCTAGGGAGCATCTAGGGATTGAATACCTCTGTTCCCAACCACTACAATATGGATATAACCATAACTTTTACTTTATCTGCAAAAAAGTGATGTTTTTCCTCAGTATTTTTGTCTTTGTTTTCCAGTACAAATGTTTAAAGATTTACTTAAGCAAAATGACATAAGATGCCTTGTTTTCTGAGTTTGATTAAAACAAGAACAAATACCTGCCAGCAGGCTCAGAAAAACACACTTAAAGAGATTTCATACCCCATTAACAGAAATTTGCTTAATGTGATACTCCACCCAAAAATCTAAATTCTGTCATTAATTACTCACCCTCATGTCGTTCCAAACCCTTACGACTTTTGTTCATCTATGGAAAAGAAATTAAGATTTTGTATTAAATCTGAGAGCTTTCTGACCCTGCATAGACAGCAAATCAACTGAAATGTTCCCAGACACATAGTAAGGACATCGGTAAAACAGTCCATATGAGATGCAAAATAATGACTTTATTCAACAATTCTTCTCCTCCAAAATCACATCTTCCGCTATTATAGAGAGTACCTCCGCACGTAAACAACACAATGCATCGTGGTACTCTCCATAATGGCGCCCTAGAGTGACATAAAGGAGAAGAAATGTTGAAGTTGTTATTTTTGTTTTCTTAGTGCACAAAAAGTATTCTCGTATCTTCATAAAATTCTGGTTGAACCACTGATGTCACGGACAATTTTACCAAAGTCCTTACTACGTTTCCAAGTCTGGGAACATTTCAGTTGCATTGCCATCTATGCAGGGTCAGAAAGCTCTCAGATTTCATCAAAAATATCTTAATTTCTGTTCTGAAGATGACCGAAGGTCTTACAGGTTTGGAATTACATGAGGGTGAGTAATTAATGACAATTTTTATTTTTGGGTGAACTATCCCTTTAAATTCTCTTAATGTTCTTTTTTTTCCTTTTCTCTCTTTTTTTTTTTTTTAGAAAACAAGTCTTGATATTTTGCATCTCACGTAAATGTAACTTGATTTAAGGTTATTTGGATATTTGTAATGAAAAACAAGACAAAAACACTGAGAAAGATACTTATTTTCTGCCGTGCATGCAAATTTTAATGCCACAAATTTATGAATTTAAGACTTTCTGTTCCAAGACCTATTTAAGGCCTTAATTTGTGAAAGGGCAAATTAACACCAAGACCCACATAAACCCTGCAAAGGCTTCAAAAGAATGGTTTTGGTTTCATGTTGTTCTAGAACTTGACCTTTCCCAAGATCACAAAATGATACAACACAGTTTTGCAAAGTGGATTAAGCAGTTAATTGAAAAGATAAGACTCAAAAGTGCAAACACGTCATACTGACCACTGACAACCCAACTAATACTCTTAAACTTTCATTACATAGAAAAGTGCAACTACTACAAAATTCACCTTTGTGTTGCACAGAAGAAAAACTCAAACAGTATTGGAGAGGCATGACAAAGAAGAAAATCTTGTTTTAAATAATCCTAATTGGCAAAATGAGAGCAGAGAGGCACTCACCTCTTTGAATTCACCATTTCTGTTGGCTTTGAGCCCATCAGGGGCATGTAACTGAATGGTGGTGTTGCTTATAACCTCAATACAGCATTCCACATCTTCTGCACCCAGTGGCCGCACGCGACAATACACCTGCCAAACACATCTCAAATGAATATACTGGTCAGGATTTTCATTATTCTAATGTGAACAAAAAGTTACAACATACTCCAACAGGGTCCTTCTGGTTGTTGGAAGGCTTTTTTGGAGGGGGGCGGCGGGGGGTCTTGCCCTTCCTGTTACAAAAGCAAAAAAATAGACACCAAGCTACAAATATAACGTTATATGGTTCAAGTAAAACGAGTATGCTTATGGTTGAAAGAAAATTCTAACTAACGTTACCTACAAACTATGTTTTAGAAGTTACAATAGGAAAACGCGAACAGCTAATTACTTAACTAAGTTAATATCTGAATTGAAACACTGACATTTAGGAAACCAAGCGCTTGGGGCATATCGTTATTTAATAATAATAATTGGCAAACATATAATTAAACTACTAATATAAACAGAAAACTTAAAACATAAAGCTGGATTATGAACAAAGCATAAAGTACAAACAATGGATCAATAACGTTAAATAGACGCGACGGGCGGCGAGTAAGTTAAGAAATGTCTGCTACAACCACTCAAAGACTTTCATATGAAAACAAACTCGCTTATGAGTTAATAAAGGACGTTTAATAACTCGTTATCGGTCTAATATATCAACAGCACAAAACAGGTATAAAACACTTACGCTTGCCTAAACATGTTGCGATGTTTTAGTTTAATTCCGCGACGCCGTTGCCTTCTTGTCCGTATACAAATTCCGAATTACAAACGTTCCCTCCACTGCGTCAGAAACTGATTTTTCAAATGTGACCAATCAGCGAGCTCAGCCACGTCTTAGATGACCGGATGTCCCGCCCTAAGCTCAGCCTGATATGCTGTTGACAATTTCCGGTTGTATCCATCGACACACTGAAATAAACAAGGAAAAACAACATGCAAAGCTTTTCTGCCGACAAGCAACTAATGTCTAGTTTTGTCTAATAGTTAATATATAAAAGTATTAATATAAAAATAGTATATAGAATATATTGTATTGACGGTTAATATATAAATGTATTAATACAAAAAAAATGTATATAGCGTATATTGTATAGGCTAAACTAATATAATCTACGTTATATTCTATAAAAATATATAAAAGCTATCAAATAGTTTTCATTGCATAGTTTTATTTAGTAAAAATAACAAAACTTTACATATTAACAAGATTTATTTATAAGAAAGATAAAGATTGTACACATAAGGTTTTACAGTTTTCAAAAAGACATTATAAAAAGGCACTTGTAAAAACGAGGATAATATAGTTTGATTCATGTGCTTCAAGAACATGGAAATGTGCTTTGAAATTGTGCAAATGTTAAGCATGATTAGTAGTAGAGAAAACAAATGACACACTCATTACAAAAACATGAATCAAACATACAAAATAATCCAATTATACAGTCTTATACTCTTCCAATTTACATAAAATCTTCATGAAATTGTTGCCATTGAACACATGGCTACAATATATACAATATACTCCGTTTTAAAGGAAACTAACTTAGCTGCCCTGAGTAACCTTATCAAATGTCACAATTCAAATGAATTTGTCCTTTACACCTCTAGTGGAGAAAAGTGCCAGACTGAAGCCATATACTATACAAAGGCCGCAGACCACACTAAAGAATGCAGCTCCCACAGTGTCTGAAAGGGTGACTGGTGGCAAATGAGTATGAAGCCACTGCTTTCGTGCAGCCATGTCAAGTTCGATGGCAGTCATCTGGAAATACGTGCCAATAATAGCGAACACGTGGAAGAGCTGATGACTGTGACCTGTGAAGGATGCATAAATGAACCACAGTTTAGAATTAATAGACTTTACTGAGCTTCAAAAGCATCCCACTAGTGCCATATGTTCTGAATTAATGATTCTTAGTTTAAAGAGAATGCAGGGATCTGTAGATGTACCTATGTAGTCAAAACTGCCAGGAGCCAAGCGTTCAGGCAGGTGTGTGGCAAAAAGAAAGCCAGTGAGGACAGCCAATGACGTGTGCTGATAGTGAACAGTATTGGCTTCATTAACAGTGCAACCCTCACCAGCGCACACAAAGATCTATAAATGAAGGCAGAAAGTACTTTAAATGAATTAACTTTGCTCAGTGTCACATTCAATACAAACACAGCCAAAACAATTAGTACAATTTTTTGCAAAATAACCCAAAACACTCACTCTATAAAAGAGAGGGATGTTGTCAAAGAGATATGGATAGACAAAGGCGATTATCCGTAGACATTTACTGAGTTTCTGATCTAATTTTCCAGAACAACTAAAAGAGAATACAGTTAATTTACTGAAAATGTACCATTTTTTAATGTCAAGATTAAAATGCAAAAGAGACATTACCTTTTAATGATGTGATGATTATACTGAAAGAATGGTAAACCAAGTCTGAAAAAAAAATACAAGTGTTTTGTCTTTTAATTGTTTTTCTATTTTAATACCACTCAGGTCAAAATCCACAAAGCAGGTTAGAAATATTACCAATTTTTGATTTATTGATTACTAATCCTACCTTGAGTAGCAGGCCAGTGCAGTGGAGATAATAGAATTGACAACAGCTATAGGAACATAGTATTTGTGAAATGTGCTATTGACCCATTTATCTGGAAATGAGTAAGAAGAGTAGGTGATGGCAGAACCTGTGGTCGATCAAATACACAAATAAACAAAAAGTTAGGATAATTCAGTCACAAAAACATTACGTAAGTATATACATTTACTCATTAGTTCTGTTATATTCTCTACAAACCGAGGCTGTAGAAGCTGAGTGCTCCATAATCAAAGAAGAAGCAGATGTGCCTGGCCCTCTCTGACATGGTACTGAAGGTATGAGCACAGCTGGAAGCGAGTGGGTACACGCAGCATGACAGAAGGAACACCAGCAAGGGCCAGGTGAAAGGATCCTGCCAGTCATCCTGCACTAGTACTACTGTCAGTTTCCATAAGAAAAACCTTGCACAAAAAAAACATTACATTCTAAAAATGCAAGCATTCATCAAAAGCTGCAGTGTAACAGAGGTATCAATGCTCTTGCAATAAAAAGTATTTTATATTTTTAATATTTGTAAATATAAGTTTTCAGCACCCTATAAATAGTATAAATTAATGTGGCAACAATTAAGTTGATCTTGCAAAAGGCTCTATGACATATTGACATTTTCAGCAATGTCTAATGTTTTACTGTACATGAGTAATCTGGAGTTCAGTCTTTAAAAAGAATTTAACATTGTATTAATTAAGTTAATCTTGTAGGAAGCTTAAATTAAATTCTCAAATTTGTCTTCATTTTAACATTAGCTAATGTACATGTATCAAAAGCTGAATGCTGAAAAATAATTTACCATGTAGGCAGAAAATGAGTCCAAATATTGAGGGTTTCATTCGTTAGCTGGAAAAGACTAAGAACACAGTCTTTGGCAGAGCTGCATGGGTGGCGATAACCTGAAATGATGCCATCCTCGTGGAAGACCTACAATGAAACAAATATCGTATTTATTTATTAATTATGTATCTATGTATAATGTATCTGCTTAAAAGTTCATGACTGACATGATAAGTATACAACACATTCAGTGCAAAACAATGACATTTCTTGCAAATTAACATCAGCATTAAAAAAAAACGTACTTTTGGAACTTGGTTGATGGTGAACACTTGAGGTAGCTTGATGAGACTGAGCATAGTAGAGGAGGGTCCAGCAGTTACAAGGTGGAGAGACCATCAGCCATCTACAGAGTTTCTTGATTCCCTGTGATTGCTTTGGACTTTTTCTCTTTAGTGTTCTTCTTTATTATAATATCTCACAGTCCAGTCACCAACTCAGGATCTTTCTATAAAACCCCTCCCTAAGTGTGCCTATGGGAGTTAACAAATTCAATATTATGTTTTAAATCAACAAATCTTAAACATAAAGCTGTCCATGTGGAAAAACACATGAAAACTAATTAAAATGTAAGAATGTGTTGCTGTTCAACAAAACACTGGATATGGAGAAACTAAATGTCTACAACAGTCTTTCACAAAGCTTTATGAGCAGCAGTGCAATAGACAGGGATATCTAACCCTAGTTATAAACCTTGTGGCTGCAATTTTACCTGCCTGAATAAACACAAATTTAATAATTAAACCCTATTATTCTCATATTTATTCTGACTGAAGAACGGCTACCTGAAAATCACCATCTCTACCTCAAGTTCACAAGTGTTAGTAAAACATTAATTTCGACTGGGAAGGGGAGCTGAGGGGAAAAAAATCACATATATATTTAACAGTTGGATATACTGTACAGTAACTTGACACTTTTGTTGTTAGGTTGTAAAACCTTCAATAGATTAATCATTGTCCAACAGACAATAGAGGGATGTGTTAAATACTAAAGATAACATGACTGGTGTATCAGAGCTCATATTGTGGGGGAAAAATGTATTCCATAGAATACCTGAATATAAATACACCTCATACTGGGTTCTAATTGTTGTTATGTGCAAAAAGCACAAAAATACTTACATTGAGAAGATAACAAGTAAATGTAACTCAACTTGCACTGGGCAATATCATTAAATAGTGAACAATAAGGTACATTTTGTTGCCTTTGGCAACTACAGTGAACTAGAACACACTGAACTTGAAGACACTAGAACACACTGAACAAAAAGTTAAAGCATACAGGTTTATGTGTGGAAGAAAATGTTTAACTAGTGAATCCAACCACTTCAGTACATTTACTCAAAGCAGTGATTGTTTTTTAGCATATGCATTTCAAATACTGATTGTGATTATTGGTTTGATTAGTGTACAGCAAAAATGTGGGAACGCTTCTAGACCGTCACACACCAAAGCACAAAAACCGTTTCAAGTAGGGATGGGCGTATCGATCCGAAGTATCGATATATCGAAAAGTATCGAAAGATACTCAAACAAAAAATATCGATACTAAGGTGTGTTTTATTTACCAGTGATTTTGTTTATTTAACAAAAAAATAATAATGCGTACAATATGCATTGAATGGGACTAATAACCTTTGTTAGCGAGTAATTGTGTAGGATAGCACTATTTTCCTGCTCACCTGAACACGCAAATGTTGCAAGACAGAACTAATCAATCACAGAGCGCGTTCACTCACTTCTGATAGTGCATTCAAACAGGGCTGATTTCCCCAAAAGTATCATAAGAAAGCATTAAAGCTTTTGGGAACGGCAGCCCTGAACAATGCTTATCAGAGGACAGAAGGACAGAGTTATTTCACAATAAACAAACTAATATTGTAGCCTACATAGTTTGTGCAATTACAGTTATTTAAATCGAACGTAGAAAGATAATATTGGTCATGTTCTATTCTGTAATGTTAATAGAATAAAAAGGTTGCATTTTATGCATGCAACAGCCTGTCACTGGCAGTCCCTTATGAAAATGAACCATGGTTTTACTAAAGTGACCATAGTTCAACTGTAGTATTTATAGATTTGAATCACGTGTAAACAAAAAACATATTTGAACCATGTGTAAACAAAAATATAACCTAATAAGTTACAATTAAGGCGTATTGAATGTTAAAAATGCATTTTAAACATAAAGTTAAGTGCTTATCATTACCCATTTTACTCTTAGTAATTTAATAATTTAATACATTTCATAATTTAAAAGTTTAGTTCAGAAGTATCGAATCGGTATCGATATAGACGATACTGCCTTGAAAAATATCGGTATCGTATCGAAAACAAAATAAGTGGTATCGCCCATCCCTAGTTTCAAGTGAAGATCATCACTCATGATGAACAACACCTGGATCAAATTCGCCAGGCAAAATTCTTGAATTAATTATTTGTCCTACACAACGGTTGTAAAATTGACTGCAAATCAATGATATACCTCATAAAATGCCTAAATACCTACTACTTATTAAAACCTCATATTTTATTTTATTCACATAGATATGCATCTCAAGTCTGTTCGTTGGCACACTTACCTTCAGATGTATATGTGCTTTCGACGTTTAGTGTGTGAACTGAATAAACAACATACAGTGAATGTTTGATTTTTTTCCTTCCCGACAATGAGTAGAGAGTGGGAGGAAAAACATGCCTTTCTTTGTTTTCGTTGTCAGCTGTAGGTCCCTGGGCTTCTGTGATTGGCCAGCATACTCTCATGAAGGCGCCGTATCCAAGACGCTGAATTCACCCACTACAAGCACAACGCGACGCCCATCAAAGAAGTGGTATTGTTTTACAGATGTTTGTAGTATCTGTTTTTTGTTGTTGTTATA